TTATATCCCCCCCCCCCCAGAACAGCTGCAGAAAGACTCAGGCTTTACCGCACACACCACCGAGGGCCATTTTCCGCTCTTCAGGGCCTCTCGGACGGCTGGGGAGCGATGTGGCACCACTTGTTTTCTCTGTTGTGATTTATCTGGGCTGTATGGCTGAATGAACGTTGATGTAACAGCTGACGTTTCAATCGGCCCTAATGATCGACCGAGGCATGAGGTTTAATCGAGGCAGGGTGTTCTTTTGTTTTTTTTCCAAAATAGATTTTGGTTTGGCCATAAATGGAAATAAATGCAGTGCAGTTTTCACTGCTGAGGGAGAATGCAGTAAAAATGAATAGCGCTGTTTATTTGCACGTTGGCTATGTTGTTTTAAACTGTAAAAAATTTATATTTGTAAATAAATCAAAATTACAGTACATTTTAGAAGTGCTATTTCAGTTTTTCATGTTTAATGCAATGTATTACTTGCCGTTTCTTTACAACTGTAACATTTGCTAGCAATTTCTAAATAAAACAATTTTTCTACACCAATTATTTTTATTTTTTCAGTAATAGCACTTGATAATCAAGCTAATCAGCTAAAGGTGTCCACAAATTAAAACATTTTCCTGCTCTAGCAGCATAAGTGAATAAGTTGCAGGTTTTGCACTGAAACACCACATGCTATTTTTTTTTGTGAATTCATCCTTAATAGTAAACAAATTTGGGTGCATTAATGAAGCAAATTTCTGCATAAATCATTCAGAAAACCATTCATATGTATATAAAGCCAGTTTGCATTCAGTGCAAAAAGTGTGTTGATTTTTGCACTGAATTAAACCATGTGCTGTGCTGATTAGTCTCTGAGTGTTTTCGTAGTTCTTTTAAATGGCATGATCTCATGTTTATCAGGGACACAAAGTTAAAGTGCGGTCGTGGCGGTTCGAAACGCTGAAGTCGGAGCTTCTTTGCTCTGGTAGGTTTACTCGAGTTCTCTTGGACTCCTCATCTTGTCTTGAAGTCTCTTAAGCAAGCAGCCGCCGATCGATGCGCCTGATCAGCGATATTCTCTCAGGGTTGCGTTGGCTAAGTGCTCTCAGTGTTGTTGCTAATTAAAACCCAGGCAGTAAAAAAACCCACCGTCACCTGCTTTCTGCTCCACCTGACGATCTGCAGCCGTATGCTGGAGACACGCCATAGCAAGACTTAATGAGCAGTTTTTCTGCTAGTTATTTTTAGCAGCAAATATACAAATATATTTACTGTATCTGTATGTTTTATTTATTCATATATAGTTTTCAGTATTTTATAGTTTCAGTATTTGTGGCTATATATGTTTGTGTGTGTGTGTGTGTGTGTGTGTGTGTGTGTATGTATAATATGGGTTAAAGGGGTTTTCAAGCATCGAAGTACAAAATTTAATACAGCTTAAATAAAATTTCCCCTGTAGAATAGAATGTGTCCTGTTTAATTGGGGTTTTTTTCTGAACAAAAAATAGACTATCATACAATTTTACCATGATTTACAGAAGACACCCACTAAAATGTCATTCAGTATAACAACAGTTCATATACCTAAAATTTTGTCAGGCATATTTACAACCAGAATCAATAAGATGACATTAAAAGACTATTTAAGAATCACAGTGCAGCCCCAAAATGCTAATTAATTGTCATTTTTAATCTTTTTTCTTTCTTTTAAAAATGGGTTTTACCCATTTGTCAGCATGAAGTTTTTAATCCATTTAAAATACAAAAAAATGGTGTGGTCATCTTTTATATATTTTTTATAAGTACAGGTTTTTTTCAACACATTTTGACATTATTTTCACAAAAATGAATTGAAACATTAAAGTAGACACTTGCATTGAATATGCTTTCTTTGTATGTGAAATCACTGCAGTAAATGTAATTTGATGTAAATTTAATTTTATATATATATATATATAGCAGCTAACTAACTGTGTGTGTGTGTGTAATTTATTTCTAATATCAGTTAATAAAAATTATATACATCGCATTTCTTCATCATTCACATTTTATATATTCACATATATATATGTGTGTGTGTATATTATTGCTCTTTTGTTGATTTTGATTGCTTCCATTGTCCTCATTTGTAAGTCACTTTGGATAAAAGCGTCTGCTAAATATCTAAATGTAAATGTATATTGTGGCTGTCACAAAACAAAAAGTCAGTGTTTGATGAGAAAAGAGGAACTCTTGTTATCTTTCTTTTTCTTGGTATGGCCTCATCAGCAATGAAATGAGTGCTTGTGGAGAGAGCGATGCGCTTGTGTTGTCATCATCTTTGTCAGTGTGATGTTCAGATGGTGTCAGTCGTGATTGGCCGTGTTTTTTCCAGGAGTGCTGTGGAGTGTGCAGCAAATTATAGATCTGGATTTAAGTTCATTTCCATTGGGTCAGGAAAGATGTTATCAGGATTGCTGGTGGACAAAGCGACACTATAACATCATCTTCATCTGTAATCGTCTCTTGAGACGTTCAAATGATGTCAGTGGTGATTGGGCATATTTTGCCACGAGTGCTATTGAGTTTGCAAACGATCGATTTTCTTATGGCAAAAAAAGATGCAAGTTTTGTTAGAGTATAAACAAATACTCTTTTCCTGATATAGATGTTGTTTCTATTGCTGTTTCCCACAGTACTGGTATGAAGGGAATGAGATGGGAGACCTGCCTGTGGATTTCTCCATCGTATGGGACGGTGACTTTCCCATCGACAAGCCGTCATCCATGCGAGGTAAGAAATCTCACACTTCACCTTCAGCCCCCTAGTGGCATTTTTAAAGCTAAAGAGAAGAAATATTGAAGCTATCCTCTCTACATTCATATTTTATCGACGTTCCCGGTGTCCTCTTGATGTGGGAAGGGTGTTACCTTCGTGTAAAGTAGAACTTAATGCATCTTTTATTTTATTTTATCTGGATATCTGTTCAAACACACTTAGTCTGTCAGGTGTTCTCTCAGTCGCCGTGGTATATTTTATTGATAACAGGGCGCCTGCCTGCTTCAGCCTCATATAACCTCACATTACTGCGGAGGATGGTATGGAGTCCGCGTCCGTCAGCTTTTAACCCGTCCACAGCGCTGTCCGTTTGCATTTACTTTGAGCGCTTTGAGAAGTAAGAGTGGAAAGACCTCCTGGAGTCGATATATATATATATCTCTTGAGGAGACCTTCATCAGGTGTGCTATTACAGAGTGTTTCTGTGCTTTCAGAGGCGAGGGAGGAATAGAAAGTCACAGCTCACTGTGTATCTGCAGATATACAATCTGTGTGGTAAATTATTGGTGTTGTGTGTTTGTTAGGCCGTGATCATGTTTTCAGTGGCCTGTTATTCTGAGCTCAGATGGGCAATTTAGCCTCGAGATCCACCTTCCCACAGCTGCCTTCAAAGATACCTCATTTTGGCCAAAATCCAAGCCACCATGACTTGTATTCTTTTTCCAGTAGAAAATCCCAGAATGTGAAGCTTTTTGTCCGAGATGACAGACAAAGTTTAGGGAAATATCCATATGTAATGTAAAATATTATACAAATATTTATAAATATTACATTATTTTGTTATATCATATAATTTTTTATTGTTTTTAATATTTTAAGTGTACATAAAAAATTATAAATTAATATTATATAAATAAATATAGCATTTTATGTAATAGTTTTATTTCATTTTATAATTTCATATTTATTTATTTAATATTTATAAATATATTATTAATAGTATAATATTATTAATGAATATAATATAAGTGTATTATAGTATTAAAACACATTTAAGTATGTTATATTTTGATATTGATATATTTTGATATTTTAAATGCCTATGTGTAATATAATAAAATAAAATATTAAACCCCATAATATAATATAATATACTGTATTTATAAATATTATATTTTTATTAGTGCTGTCAAACGATTAATCGCATTCAAAATAAAAGTTTTTGTTTGCATAATATATGTTTGTGTTCTGTGTATATTTATTATGTATATATAAATACACAAACATACAGTATATATTTTGAAATTATTTAGATGTATTTACATGTCTATATTTATATTCTTATAATTTATATTATAAATAAATATATTTAATATATAAACATAACATATTTTTTCTGAAATATATACATGCATGTGTGTGTATTTATATATACATAATAAATATACACAGCACACATACATATATTATGTAAACAAACTTTTATTTTGGATGCGATTAATCGTTTGACAGCACTAATTTTTATAACTAATAATATAAATCCTATTTGTAATATAAATATTGTTACAAAAAGTAGGCAGCAAAACTGGATACCTCATAAGCTTGAATATGACATTTTCTAAATATTCAAAAATACCGGTCAATATTTCCAGATTTTCTATACTATGAACATGTCTGACTGACCTTTTTAAACATTCAAATAATTTCTTTTATATACATTATTTGCTTCTAGATGGGGGTTATTTTAAGATTTTCGATACGAATATATTTATTTACTACTGAAAAAGGTTTAATAAGATGAGCATATGTTTAGTCTCTGTGCAAAAATGAGTTTCTACTTGTGACCAGCATTTCAAATCACTCACATGCTGTTCTATATCTGTTAGGATGCTGTCTGTGTAGACCGTAACCAGCGAGTGAGCTCACTAGAGTTTGGAACAGAGCCACTGTGTATAGAATTGAATCTCTACACCCACAACAGCAGAACGCCTTGGTTTTCTGCTTCCTCGAGGCCTCGGGTCAGAGTTATTAGTGTGTGTGGGCAGCACATGAATCACGGCACAGTGAAAGCAGGCGTGGGTTTCGCCTCGGCTACCTTCCCCTTACAGTTCAATTATCGATTGGCACCGCACAGCTGGCACCACTCCAAACATGGCCTGCGTTTAACTGCCCAGCTGAGAGTACGGCTATATTCTCACTCTCTGTGTGTGTGTGTGTGTGTGTGTGTGTGTGTGTGTGTGGAGACGCAGCTCTCCTGTATAAGTGTGAAGCTCAGAGGGACAGAGGGACACTCTGTCTGAAGGCAGACAGCATGTTTGAGTGTGGCTGGTGTTTGGCCGATAAGAAGTGTCTCCTGAAGCAACACTGTCCATCACCCGAACACAACTGGATGCATCAGGGACGCCGCAACGTACGCTGCAGCCATCCCCGAATCACTAAGGTAACACACACACACACACACCATCTGAAAGCCATCCTTGTGTTCAGATGAGCCTTAACTAAAACATTAAAGTAAACAGTGAGGAAATACATGAATTATGTTAGGGACACTGGGTAGGTGGCAAATAAGTTCTGTCAAGAATGAAAGTCATTTTATTTTATTTATGTGTCAAGAATGAAAGTCATTTTATAATATTATTGTTTTATTATAAATAATTTTTTTTAAATATTTTATTTTTATTTTATTTGTTTGCTTATTCATCTTTGTTTATTTTGTTACTTTATTTTTAGTGCTGTCAAATGATTAATCGCATCCAAAATAAGTTTTTGTTTACATAATATATGTATGTGCACTGTGTATATTTATTATGTAAGGAATAATTGACGACGGGCCGTTGAATTATTCGAAAAATAATGCACACCCGAGGTGGTGATGCGGCCACGATGCATTATTTTTCTAATAATTCAATTATTCGTAGTCAATTATTCCTCTTATACTATGGTTAGCACACCTCAAGACATCGATCAGATGATATATTTAAAGGGATTCATCCGGTTTTTGTACTTAAATCGCTATTGTGAGTAGGATTAAGTTATTAGAAAGAGAGCGAGAGAGGCAGAGACACACAGAGAAAGAAAGAGAGAGAGAGAGAGCTTTTGTGAATTAGGCTACCTCTGTGCGTCCCTCAACAGTGTTCTGCAGCAGCGTCTCTAAACAGCTCTGTTATTACCTCGCTAGTGAGAAATGTCATGTGTAGCCTTTAAGTTGCTACCCTATATAGGCTAACTGATCAAATCGTCAGGGCAGCGCTGACCGTAGTGTGCGAGCACGTGTGATTACAGTAATTCCTGTGTGCTGTATAGGTACTGTATGCTCATTTCCGTTATTACAGTTAACAATGCGAAGTGATATGGAACTGTAGATTCAAGCATTCAACGGCCCCGTAGTATTAGTATATATAAATACACACACATACAGTATATATTTTGAAAATATGTACGTTTATACATTTATATGTTCATATGATTATATTTTATATTATATATAAATATATTTTATATGTAAACAACATATTTTTCTTAAATATATACATGCATGTGTTTGTATTTATATATACATAATAAATATACACAGTACACACACATATATTATGAAAACAAAAACATTTATTTTGGATGCGATTAATCGTTTGACAGCACTACTTTTTTTGGAATCACAGTATTTATTTTGTCTTTATTCATCTTTATTATTTACCTCAATTGTTTACATTTTTAGATTTATAATTATTTATTTAATTACCTTTATTTATCTTTATTATTTATTTATTGTTGAATTTGTCTTTTTACCCATTTGTTTACCTTTTTTTTTTAAATGTAGAACATATTTATTTATATCTTTATTATTTATCTTTACTTTTGTAACGTTTTGTAGCTTTAAAATGTTCATTTATTCATTTTCATCATCTCAGTTTTTGCCATTTAAAAAAAAAATATATATATTTATTAATCATTATTTATCTGTATGATTTATTTATTCATCAATCTATCTGTAGTAGGTTTTTTAAACCATTTTCAGACATAAAAATGTTAAATTTATTATTAATTTACTATTTTTAGAATACATTTTTGTATTTATTTTCATTTATTAACATTTTTCTATATTCCTTTTTCTTCATTAAAGATGTTTTGTCTGACTTTTCTAGCTTCTGTATGTAATTTTTCATAAATTGTCCCTCAAATATGGTTAAAAGCACAAATGAAATAGACAATCCTCCTGCATGACAAATATCCCAGACTGCACCTTTCAAAGTGGTGACCTTTAAAGCTCTTAGAATTTGTTTCTTGTATATCCTCCAACGAGAAGCTGTCATCTCTGTCTTCATAGATCCGGCCACTGACGGGGCCGAAGGAGGGCGGCACACGTGTGACCATCGAAGGAGAGAATCTGGGGCTGCAGGTTCGAGAGATCACGCATGTGCGTGTGGCGGGAGTTCGCTGCAACCCTGCTGCGTCTGAATACATCAGCGCTGAGAGGTGGGTTATGCTTCCCGTGTTGCTAGTTAATTTGAACTGGTGTTTGGACAATGCTTAGTGCAGGAGTGATTTCTGGGTTTGTTCTTGGCCTGCAGGATCGTGTGTGATATGGAGGAATCTCTGATGTCGAGTCCCCCTGGTGGTCCAGTGGAGCTGTGTATCGGTGACTGCAGCGCTGAGTATCGAACCCAGTCGTCTCAGATGTACTCTTTTGTGGTACGTCCTCTACTTCTTTGTTTAGGAAAGGGACAATGTTATATTAAGACATCTTGGCTGTCTCTGAAACTTGAAGAATGTTGCTTTATCAGGCAACATATGGAGAAAGGAAGGCATCAAAACAAATCCTAATTCGCCATTCAGCGAGTGGACAGAATAAATGTCAAAGTGGTTGGAAAAAATGTCCATTTGTATTTATTTATTTAGAATATTTAATGACTACAGTGCTTATTTAATTTTATAAAAAATAGGTTAGGTATGTTAAAAAAATATGTATTTTATTTTTTAAATTTAATTTGTATTTATTTAAACCATTATTTATAATGATTTATGTTATGTATAATTTTAGAATAGAAAAATGTCTTTTAAATATGTATCTTTATCATTTGTTTACCATTTTAGTATTCATTCATTCATTCATAATTCATTTATATTTTTTATTTTATTTATTATTTCTATTTTTTTTTTTTACCATTTTTAGAATAGAAAATTTTATTTTAAATATGTATCTTTATAATGTATCATTTCTATTATTTGTTTACCATTTTAGTATTAATTAATATTTTATTTAATAAAATATTTTTATTATTTATTATTTAAAAAATTATTATTTAGAATCACAATAATTTTTTTACTGTTTTTATCTACAAATTCATTTATTTATCTTTATATTTAATGACAACCGTGCTTATATTTAATTGGAAAGATCATTTTAATTTTAATTTATTCCATTTCTGCCGGAAATAAGCATTGTAATTACTAAACACTCTATGGGTTATTTCTAAACTCATTTGAATTTGTTCTAGAATATTAAATGTGATGACATCTTGCTTTTTAAAGCAGTTTCCAGGTGCCTTCATACACAAAACGGCACCTGACTGGCCAGCGAGGCGGCTGCCTTCGATTTTACACCTAGCGGTTATATTTTAATCGTTCTTTTCATATCGATTCCCTTATCGCTGCTAACATTTTGTTTGGGGTGATTTACGCGCAGCTAATCAATACGAATCCATCCTTTGAGACTCAGCCAATCCGATTTTGCGCTTGAAACCGATGAATCGTTAGGATTCCCACTCCTCCATCCCATTAGCCAATCAAATCAACTTGTGGAGCCCATGTGATAATGTAGTTGAAGGAAAGGGGAATGTAAAGAATGACACAATTACCCCTTCCTCCCCGCTGAGTTTTGAGTGGTGCCCAGCAGGAATAGGGCATTAGTCTATTATCCCAAGCCCAGGAGCTTTACACACACACACACACACACACACATATATATATATAAATGGATGACCCTGCCTGGATTCCCTCAACATCTAATCAATAGCGTCCAGGCAGCTTCAGTCGTGCAGAAGGGTAAAGCAAATGAAAACACGCACTCTGACCAATTACACAGGTATGCAACTAATTACTGCGAGAGGACGGCGCCTGACAGGTCCTGCGCCGAAACAAACGAGCCCTGCATGGCGCGAGAGCAAACAGGACATTTCTATTACAGTGATGAGTGTAATCTCTTCATGTAGTACCAGAATGAGGAAAGCAAGCGCTCGCTTGAGCATCCGTCCGTCTGTTCTAAAGTTAGCGCTGCTTTTCTCGTCCCCCTAGACTCCGAGTTTTAACCGGGTGCGGCCGGAGAAAGGACCCGTGTCCGGCGGGACCAGGCTGACTATCTCAGGCCGACATCTGGACGCCGGGAGCGCCGTGACCGTGTTTTTGGCCCAGGAAGAGTGTCTGTTTGTCAGGTGAGCAGCGTTTCTGTCAGCTCTTAACTTTACTGCATAACAAAAAATTAAGGGGTTTTAAATGTGCTAAATTGTAATAAAAAAAGTCATAATACTACAAATCTGAATGTTCTTAAACATTTTCAATTTAAAATATAGTATTCTTTTTTAAATGCTTTATTTTGAAAATATTTAACGTAAAAAATATAAAATAATTACTTCATGCATATATATTCAGACAATTTTCATGAAATATAAATTCTGCACATCAAATTATGTTGATCATTTTTGGTAAATTCATTTTTCTGTGCCTTCATCTGTAAACAGGGCAAGAACCTCATGCCTCCTGCTCCTGGCAACGCCCGCCTGAATTACAGCGTGATGATTGGAGAAACGCCCTGTCTGTTAACAGTCTCTGAATCTCAGCTGCTCTGTGATTCGCCGGATCTGACCGGAGAACAGCGAGTGATGGTGAGGATCGTGCAGCTATGACATTTCCCCATTATGCATTATAAACAGCTAATCTATAAGAAGCCTCTCGTGCAGCTGAAGAGCAAAACATGCTCACCTCTCGTTGCACTGACTGAGAATTTACGGCTCCTTATTTATTGTATATCAACCAATAAAGGTGGCAGAAAATGAATGGATGGCTGCAAGATGGCAAAAATGCTGAATGTTTGGTTTGCATGGACTCGGGCATTGTGCCTCTCATTTAATCAATCTCATAATAAGCCACTGCCGCATGGCCATTTTTTACCTTAATGCCAAAACGGAAAGCATAAAGGTCAACTGGAAGTGGCTCGCCGTACATTAAGTACTTATTAGGATTAAAAGGAGCGCTGATACAAGCAATTTCCCCCGTAATCTAGCTATCTGCTCTCCCGGCAGCTCAAACAATTATTACAAACAGCAGACAGGAATCCTTCATAACCTTCCTGAGCCCTGACATATGCTTAGAAAGAGCATTTGAGACATGTTCAGCCCCCTTTATTGATAATAACGGCTTTCAGTTATGGTCATTGCTCAGGAAAACCTCACTATTATTTTTGCTCATACTTGTATTAGTCATTTGAACAAAGTCTTGACCCTAAGTATTCAACTTTAACACGTTTTATCCTGCACCGTTTGTGCTACAGTCATGAATGATGCCAATTCAATATTTTAAATATGACTGAATCAATATGTATATATGAAGGATTAAACGGGAACAAATTACAAATGCTTAATATAAAGTTATAAGCCTGACAATGTAATGTGTATGTTAATGTATGTGTATGTTCAGAATTATATAATGTACATGAATATGTATATATTTTCAGACTTATAATTTATGGATGGATGGATAGATAAAATAAATGCATGCACACTTTTAATTATTTAATTTCTAGTTTTTAACGAAAATTATATTTGGAAATAAGAAATTTCTGTAAAAAAAAAAATATATATATATATATATATATATATATACGATCACACACACATCAGGATAATAATAATGCATTTTATTTATCATGCACTTTTCTTAACCCAAAGCGCTACAACAACAAGCGTAATAGTATGCTACAATAAGCAACACAAAAAAGAAACTATATAAAACAAACTCAATTACAGTAAGCAGTTTTCAAAAGATGAGTCTTTAAAGATTTCTTAAAACAGTTCAAGGTCGGAGAATCTCTAATTCCTGCTGGTAGAGCATTCCACAATCGTGGAGCTGAGACAGAGAAAGCTCTACGACCCATAGAGTTTAATTTATATGCAGGCTGCTGAAGGATACACGACCTAGCAGAGCGCAAAGGGATAAATAAATAAAGCCTAAATGTATTAGTAACTATTAGACTTCTATGAATTAGAAGGGTTAGTCTGAAAATATAGATTTAATGTGTATAATGTATATAATATTTATTTAATAATGTATATAAATGTAATATTAAATACTGGTGTGTGTGTGCATATATACACACATATATAGATATACATACATACACTAATTAATATTTAATGCAGTTAAAAAATATTTAAATAATAATATATAAAATGTAACTGAATCGTTCTGAATGTGTGCAAGTATCGCTTCTAAATCAAATCAGTGAAACGTGAATTGAATCGATTTGCTATCAACATAAAGATTCACACCTCTGAACTACATAGCAACACCCCAGTGCACACTCTAGCATCATGACATGAATTTTGGTTATTAAATCGCTGAGTGTTTTGCCAACACTGTTTCCTGAATACAAACCTTGTTGCAGTAATTACTTTCAGAACTGATCAATAGCATCACAACAAGTCAATTCTAATCAAATCCAGGACCTGTTCCTCTCCATGTAAGGTATACATTCACATTATGCCACTGAATTTAATCCAACACCTTCCTGTTTGATTGATTATCACTAACTCTGTGGACACAAAGATTATTTGTATCAAAGAGCCGATTATTCAGTTGAGTTCCAGTTTGTGAATCCACAGTGTAGAGAAACACCCATAAAAAAGGGAAAAAAGAATGAGAGAGAGAGAGAGAGAGACATAGTTGGATCTAAGAGTGCCGGGATCACTCAGCTAATGACCTGACACATATCGACAGCGCTCCAGAATTCACTTTGTTCCCCTCTATCACCGAGTCTCAATAATTCATGCAGCCACGCGGGGCCCGAGCAGCCGCAGAAAGGTGAAACTCGTTAGGACAGACGGCTGGATGCCGTGTTTAATTGGTCCTCGAATAGTGCAAGGCTGAGCTCCCGGTGCCATGCCTCAGTCAGACCCCAGTCTCTAAGTAGACCTCTATTACCTGCTGATTTCTGCCTAATTGCCTGCACACCTGTGCCAAAGTGACTTTTTGAAGTAATTTGATGTGGATTAGTGGTCACGGTGTCTGACGGAGGCGTGAGCGTTTGTTCTCTCGCCGCAGGTGGAGGAACGCCACGTGAACGTGTCGAACGAGTGCATAATTCTGCGGTAATTCTAATTGCGAGCTGATTTAATTCAAGAAGAAACAGTATGAGTGCCCTCAGCCAATCAAAAGCCCTCATTATGACCCACTAAAGCCGGCAGGGTCGTTAGATTGAAGGGCCTGGCGCTCAACCTATTCTAATAGTTTCTTTTGTCTATGTGTGTAGATCCTCGTGGGCGGCCTGGAATATTCTCCTGGAATGCTTCACATCTATTCCGACAGCACTCTCACGCTGCCTGCCATCATCGGGATCGGAGCCGGCGGCGGTGTCCTCCTCATCGCCATCATCGCCGTGCTCATCGCATACAAGCGCAAGACGCGGGACGCCGACCGCACGCTTAAACGCCTACAGTTGCAGATGGACAATCTGGAGTCCCGTGTCGCGCTAGAGTGCAAGGAAGGTAAGATTTGGGGGTAGTTCAGCATCTGTGGCGCATATGGCCCATGCCAAGCTGTTTCAGACAGGTGTGGAGAGTGTTTTAATGAGCTACTAATGGTTTTAACCCGTAGGATAAATCAAACGGAGCTGTGATGTATTATTTTATTGTGCGCTTGGTCTCCCGTGGGCACCAAACGGGAGCGAGTCGGATGCGTTCTCGCACTGCAGTAGCCTGGATTCTTGCAGAGTTTGACGCAGTCTTTGTGGAGGGATTGAACTGGGTCATGACGTCATAATGTCCTCATCCTTTGATACCGGTTTTATTCACGGCTTTAAAAGGATCTGTAGCTCAGGCAGACACGGTGCTGTGTTATTTATGCATTTGTTAAAAGAATGCCATGAGATACTGGAATGAATGCAACTTTCTGTTTATGCGATTTTATAGTTTTTTCATTTCTGTGTCTTTTGTCAGTGGGCATAGTTTCCCAGAGACTGAAACTGTTTGCATTCATTCCAGAAGTGCTGTCATATATATATATATATATATAGAGAGAGAGAGAGAGAGAGAGAGAAAGAGAAAACAATTTTGATCAATGTAAGATGCATTAACTTGATCAAAAGTGTCAATAAAGACGTTTATAATGTTATAAAAGATTCCCATTTCAAACAAATACTTTTATTTTAAACTTTGCTAATCAAAGAATCCTGAAAAAAAACAATCACTATTTCCACAAAAATATTAAGCAGCACAACTGTTTTCGATATTGATTGTTGCAAAGGAAACCAATTCAATTAAAATCATGTTTAGTTGATTAGAACTCCCTAATATATTTCAGTGTTTCTAGCTCAAGATGCGAAATGACACAAAATAACCATTTCTTACCATATTGTAGCTAATGCCAGTAATCTAAAAATCATTTCTGTGTCTTTTGTCAGTGGGCATAGTTTCCCAGAGACTGAAACTGTTTGCATTCATTCCAGAAGTGCTGTCATATATATATATATATATATATATAGAGAGAGAGAGAGAGAGAGAGAGAGAAAGAGAAAACAATTTTGATCAATGTAAGATGCATTAACTTGATCAAAAGTGTCAATAAAGACGTTTATAATGTTATAAAAGATTCCCATTTCAAACAAATACTTTTATTTTAAACTTTGCTAATCAAAGAATCCTGAAAAAAAACAATCACTATTTCCACAAAAATATTAAGCAGCACAACTGTTTTCGATATTGATTGTTGCAAAGGAAACCAATTCAATTAAAATCATGTTTAGTTGATTAGAACTCCCTAATATATTTCAGTGTTTCTAGCTCAAGATGCGAAATGACACAAAATAACCATTTCTTACCATATTGTAGCTAATGCCAGTAATCTAAAAATATGGTGAAATATCCCCTTAGTATATCTGTCTGTCACAGCTTATGAGGTGTTCTTCAGTCTGATGGATGCGTATCTCTTCTGTTCTTTATTACTCTCAGCATTCGCTGAGCTGCAGACAGACATCCAAGAGCTGACAAACGACATGGACGGTGTGAAGATCCCTTTCCTGGAGTATCGTACCTACACCATGAGAGTGATGTTCCCTGGCATCGAAGAACACCCGGTTCTAAAGGAGCTGGACGTAAGGGAACTTTTAAAATCTCCTGTTTTGTTTCTCTGTCACCAGGTGTCATCTGTCACTCGCAAGTGCCAATAAGTAGGTTGCCACAACTCATAGACCATTTTCTTTTAATCCTCCTGCCAAAAAAAGAAAGCAGAAAAAAACCTAGATGTGCTTTAAAAAGATCCCCTAAGCTCTGAAGCTACAGTACTGCTGTCTCAGTAGTGAGCTTCAGAGTGAACGCCCCTCTTTCAGCATGCTTTTTAATTAAAACCTCAGGCAGAATGAAATCAGCAGCCCTGCAAGGCCCTGGTGGAATAGCCGTCTAGAGACGTGCCTTACCAAAAAATGTTTTGAAAATAGTCAGCAAAGAACAATTAAATCTCACCGCAGCAGAGCTTTTTTTCCAAGTATGCATTCAGGCAACAATTGTTGTTGCGCATGTTTCTCTCATCTCCTTCCTGTCTGACTTTTCCATTCGTGTTTTTGTTCTCCTGCTTTTTCTTTCGTTTAATCAAATGTTCCCTCTCCTCTTAGTCTCCGGCTAATGTGGAGAAGGCCCTGCGCTTGTTCAGTCAACTGCTGCACAACAAGATGTTCCTGCTGACCTTCATCCACACGCTGGAGGCTCAAAGGTCCTTCTCCATGCGGGATCGCGGCAATGTGGCCTCCCTACTCATGGCGGCACTGCAGGGACGGATGGAGTATGCCACTGTGGTTCTCAAACAGCTTCTTGCTGACCTGATCGAAAAGAACCTGGAGAACCGTAACCATCCCAAACTACTGCTTAGACGGTAAGAGATGGTAATTGTGGAGCATAACAATTCCTCCAGTGTTACTATATGATTTATCACCACACTTGTTAAAAATTAGCAAGGACCTAGCAACCCCCAGAACATACTGCATAACAACATCCTAGAAAACAACCAGAACACCTCAGCAACTACATAGCAATGCCCTAGAAACCCCAAAAACACTTTAGCAACTACATAACACTACCCTAGCAACACCCCAGAACATTTCAGCTACTGCAGAACAACGCCCTAGCAAACACCCAGAATGCCTTAGCAACTCCCCAGAACACCTTAGCAACTGCATAGCAATGCCCTGGAAACTACTCAGAATACCTTACAACACTACATTACCACGTAGCAGCATGCAAAAAACACCCTAAACAAAATACACACTAAATACTGCACCCTAAACATCCTAGCAACTACCCAGAATGCCTTAGCAACTGCATAGCAATGCCCTGGAAATCACTCAGAATACCTTACAACACTACATTAGCACATAGCAGCATGAAAAAAACACCCTAAACAAAATACACCCGAAATACTGCATAGCAACACCCTAGCAATGCCCTAGCAACCCCCAGCAACTGCACAGCAGCATGCAAAAAAAAACATGCAGACAACCTTATCAACTGTACAGAAAGGCCCTAGCAACCACCCAGAACGCCTTAAAGGGTTAGTTCACCCAAAAATGAAAATTAGGCTGTTTTTTACTCACCCCCGAGGCATCCTAGGTGTATATGACTTTCATCTTTCGGACGAATCCAGTCGGAGTTATATAAAAAAATTGTCCTTGCTATTCCAAGCTCTATCATTGCAGTCAGCGGATGTTGCAGTGCTTCAGTCCAAAAGAAGTGAAATAAAAAGCGCCCATCCATAAAAATAAAGTGTCTCACACGGCTCCGGGGGGGGTGAACAAAGGCCTCCTGTAGCGAATCCATGCGTTTTTGTAAAAAAAAGATCCTTATTCAAAACTTAATAATCACTTTAATCTAGCTTGCGCCAATAGTTGTACACTGGAAGCAGCTCTGGGAGCATGATGTATGAGTTCAGCGTTGCGCATGCGCCGGTGAGTCTCGTGAAAACCAACGTTTGTTAACTGGAGCAAAGGAAGCAAAGTTTCCTTACTTTAGCAAAGGAAAACCAGTCTCCTCTTGGCTTATATCGAAATCATCTGACATTCTTCTTTACAAATCCTCGTTTTGTACTTCTAATTAGTGACTGTTGTTTTTGATCTCTCCCATGAGCTTCCGCGTTCGTCACTTCTGAGCGGCGCATGCGCAACGCTGATCTCATACGTCATCCGCCCGGAGCTGCAACCACCCAAAACACTTTAGCAACCACATAGCAACATGCTAAAAACCACTCAGAACACATTAACAACCACCTAGCAATACCATAGCAACTGTTCAGAACACACAACATAATCATCACTCATGAATTGCGTTTGTTTTTGCAGAACCGAGTCTGTGGCTGAGAAGATGCTCACTAACTGGTTCACGTTCCTCCTGCACCGCTTCCTCAAGGTTTGTGATGTTTTTTCTAACAAAAACATTCAGTCAGTTTTAATAACATGCTATGCAAAGTCCTACGTGAAATTGAGCAACAGTCTCAAACTGCTCTCTGGCTAACTAGCATCTTGTTTGCAAGAAGATTTTGGCGCGCTGACGTTTTGGATGGCCTGACTCATTGCAAAGCCTGCTAATAAATCTCGCTAAAGCCTACGCTCCAGATAGCGACTCAGGAATGCCGCAGCTTCCGCCCAACCCTGAAATCAGCTGCGTGGAGGGCACTCGCTCAATCCCACATCCTGTCAGGTGTTACAGAGTTCACCAAGACGACCTAAACGTCGCTGATTTAGGCTGAAGCAGATTGAGATGGCTATTAGCGCTAAGGGCGGGAACATCAGGCCCTTTGTGCATTCAAGGCTGCAACTGCCCTACGGAATGTAGCTCTGGCCGGCCGCTCAGTGTCTTTACGTCCCATCAGTGCAGATGTTAAAGTGTTTTGGCCACCATACAGGCCTTTAGGAGTAATTACCATGAAATGCCTTCTCGGTACGGCTCTGTTGCCCTGCCTGGGTGTGTACTTGTAATTTCATATATATCATGAGCCAAAGCATTCAGTATGTTTATATCTGTTGTACATTTTTGTCATGTACATCATCTTATTAACAACCATTTAACGTTACATTCATATAGAACATGTACTCTGTGAACATTCTCAGAACTTTCTGGCAAGGTTCTCTCAAAGCTTTGAACAAATGTTCTTCCAGTAACCTTAATATAATTTTCATTCAAAGTTATGCAGCTTTCAGTAACGTTCTCGTAACATTATCAAAAATGTTATACATTGTTCATGGAACGTCTTCTAGTTGGACATTCTTCTAGCATTTTATTAAATGCTGCTACTTGTTTCAGAACATTCAGAGAATATCAAAAAGTAAGATTCCCTTGATTTTTGCAAAATGAATAAATGGAACATTCCTTTAGTGTTTTCATTAACGTTAGCATAACCCCAAAAAAAGTATAAAAACTGAGCATTTCAAACTTTCAGAGAACATTCAGAAATAGCATTTTCATAACTTAATGGGAACGTTAGCCAAATGTTCTTAGAACATATTTTTGTTATCAGAGAAAAACAATCAAGAATTAATTTATCTAGAAATTAGATGTCATTATTTACTTATCCTCATGTCATACCAATCCTAAATGTAAAATAAAATAAATATAGAACATAAAATGAAATATAATATGAAGTGTGCTTTTTACAGTAGGATCAGATAAAGCATATACCATGTCTGAATCCATATTTTACAATAAATTTTCCTTGCTGTAAAAAAAAAACTAGCTGCAGATTGGTTAGATCGGTGGTCTCAAACTCAATTCCTGGAGGGCCACAGCTCTGCAGAGTTTAGCTCCAACCAGCTCCAAATCAAACCTGATTGGAAGTTTCTAATAATCCTGAAGACCTTGATTAGCTGGATCAGGTGTGTTTGATTAGGGTTGGAGCTAAACTGTGCAGAGATTTGGACTTCCAGGAATTGAGTTTGAGACCAATGGGTTAGATCAGTGGTTCCCAACCCTGGTCCTGGAGGCACCCCAACACTGCACATTTTGCATGTCTCCGTTCTCTGACACCAATTTCAGGTCTTGGAGTCTCTACTAATGAGCTGATGATCTGAATCAGGTGTGTTTGATTAAGGAGACATGCAAAACATGCAGTGTTGGGGTGCCTCCAGGACCAGAGTTGGGAACCACTGGGTTAGATTGTAAAACCACCTTAAACCAGCCTAGACCAGCAAACTGTTGCTTAAATGGTATTTCCAGCAGAGTTGGGTGACGCATTTTAGTTGTGTATAGTCTTCTGGACTAGTATTGTGGCTATTTTATTTAATTAAATTTTTTTATTTTATTGTTTTGGGGCTTAACAGTCCATTTTCACTATATGCTTTCATTCTGTAAGTTCACTTTTAGATTTTACGAAAGAAAGTCGTGCAGGTTTAGAACGAAATGAGGGTGTGTAAATGATGATAGAATTTTCATTTTGTGGTGACTAATGCTGTGTTCACGCCATATCGTAATTACCGTAATTTCGAGATGACAGCACGTGACGTTCTACTCGGAGCTGTTCACGTCCTCGGACTCGGAATTATGCTTTTCTATGGCAACATTATCAACACCTAAACAGAGCCTTCGGTGGTCTGGTGGTACAGTGGTCAGTTGATACAAGTCGTAGCTCTCAGAAAACTCCCAGTTCACAAGTTGTAATTACGAGTTCTACGAGGACGTGGCCGCTTTTTACAAGTTGGAATCTCGTAATTACGGGAATTCCGATATGGCGTGAACGCACCTTTAATCCTACAAGGGTAACATAAATATCTGTTAACAGATATTTAGGGCTTTTTCTTGTGCAGTCAGTTCATGCCTTCTGCATTTACACTGCATATGTTAAACCGTGTGAATTTGACGTTCAAACGTGTCCGTTAGCGATCGAAACCTGGCGAGGATCCCGTGACACACATCTGTTGTGTCATAACAGGGTCTAACGGCCAGACTATGAATAGCAGACAGAGCCAGAACACCGGCAGCCTCTAAAAGCAATAGAAAGATGAGGATTTGATGTATATATTAAGACTAAATGCATGTGACATAGAGTTCGGAGGCTGGTTGTTTAGAATTACTTGCAGTTAGGCATCCAATGGATGCTGGGTAACCCTCTCCGCCTGCGTTAGAAGAGTGTGATTCAGGATGTCATGCTGTAATTAATAATGTCAAGCTGATCTTGCCTAAGAACTAAATAATAGCCTCCCCTCCGTATCGCTGTTTAGTCATCAAACGCTTTTAAGTGGGTAATTGGAGACTTCTCCAAACTCCACAAATGCCATCTGAAAAGAACTGTGATCGGACGTGTCTGTCATTCTTTCTCTGCACGCTCGCCGCCTTGTTTCTCCTTTTCGCTTCCTTTTGGTCAGAACATGTCTTCTCTTTCCTTTCATTGCTTCTTGCTCTGTATTTAAAGGCGCAATTAGGCGTTTTTCGAAGTGTGTGAAAATTACAGCTCGTTGTGATTGTGTTCTGTGGTATTTTGCGCAGGAAGTCGTCTTGAGTTCTTCAGCATGTTCTTTAAAGGTAAAAGGTTTTAAAGGAGACATGTAATGGAAAACACGATTTCCTTGCTCTTTTGGAAATAAAAGCTCTGAGGTTCTACATAGACGTACTAAAATGTTCACAACGCAAAGCTTCTGATTATGAGACGTGTAAACTATTTTGTATAGGATTTGTTTTCTTTTCAATGTTTTTATTTTAATTATTAACATTGGATGTCTGTGTTTTCGTATAGTGATTTGAATGGGTTTGGGATCTCTAGTGTTCACGTGTACATTACTGTTCAAAAGTTTGGTGTTGGTGAGATGCAAAGCTGAACCACTCCAGCCTTTAGTGTCACATGATCTTTCAGAAATCATTTTAATATTCTGATTTGCTGCTCAAAAAACCTTTCTAATTATTAGCAATGTTGAAATTTTAATATTTGATAATACATATATTTATTATTAGTTTTTTTTCAGTATTCTTTGAATAGAATAAATATAATTTTAAATGCAAATTTTATTGCACCAATGTAGTCTTCACTGTCACTTTTTTATCAATTTAATGCACCCTTGCTGACAAAAAGGTAAACATTTCTTTCAACAAAAAAAAAACTTTTTAAAACTTTTGAACAGTAGTATATATGTTGACTTTATTTCTGCTTCATGAAACTCAATGAAATAGTTACTTAGTTAATTAGCTCAGTATTTTTTTATGGATGTTGTGTGAGTATGCATTAACCAGAATGGATTGCTTAGCCAATCGTAACAGATATTTTTATTTATATAGTGGTCTTAATGGTACAGTAGCAAAAAACAGCCTGTTAAATTCTGTGGGTCAGTGAGAAGGTGGAAAATAAACATATGAAACTTTGTTGCAAGAAACCTTGACTAACATAAGTGGACAATAAGTGGACTTTAGGAAGAAAATAAAATGCTTCACAAGTGTAGAATATGACCTCTCTCTCTCTCTCTCTCTCTCTCTCTCTCTCTCTCTGTGCAGGAGTGTGCTGGCGAGCCTCTGTTTATGCTCTACTGTGCTATAAAACAGCAGATGGAAAAAGGTCCCATAGACGCCATCACAGGAGAGGCCAGATACTCCCTGAGCGAAGACAAGCTCATCCGACAGCAAATCGACTACAAGCAGCTGGTCAGTGTTCCCGTGGTGACGCTCTCTCACGTATCCCATAATCCCTCTTCCCGTCTCCCAGCACTCCCTGCCTCATTGAAGACCACAAGTGTTTGACTTCAGCGCAAATATACATTTGAAAAGTACCAAAACACTACAAAAGTTTTACGTTGCAGATGCTTCCAGCTAGAAATGATATATATTAATACTAATACCACCAGTGTTGTTTTAGGGTACTATTATAATTTTGTTCATATTTTGAAGTTGATTTAATTTTTGTGTTTTCTTATGTTTTGTGTTTTTGTCATTTTTATTATCTGTGTTTATATGTGTGTATAGTCTTTGTGTAGAATTACTTTGTATTCATTAGTCTTGGTTTTAGTTATTTTAGTACAAGTTAAACTAAAATTAGATATTGCTTTGCAACTAGCTGAAATAATATACATTTATTTAAATGTTTATTATTTTATTAATGTTTATTTAATTTAAGTAACAAAAACAACAATTTTATACGGTTTTAGTTTTAACCCTGACTAATACTTAATTTAATATTACTAGTATACGCTTTACAAGGTCTTTTCACACCAAGTCCAAGTTTTTGGTATGAATAACATGTGCGACAATTGTAATATGAATCAAATGCATTTGTATGAAATATCATACTGCAATATTACATTCGTTTTTTTATTTTAAAGGCTTTGTCATCATGTCAATAGCTGTCATGCTTATATTTAATATTTAATGACAGTATTCTGCCTGCATTTGTAAGATCAATGCAAGATACAGTATCTGTTTTTTTTTGGTTCTGATTAAGATCCAGTTCTTAATTCTGAATCCTAGTGGTCATTAGTGTCCCATCGGCCTTAAAACTGACTCGAGAGCTCAAATGTCAATCGGACAGATGATATCAGGCCAAGCAGAGTTATAACGTGACTTTCAGAGCGGGGTTTGTCAGAGGTGGCAAAACAGGGACAGAAGTCAATTGAGAAAAAACAAAGAACGACCTGATCAGAGCCTGTAATGACTGAAACAAATCTGAGAATTTATCATGGCACTCATAAAACAACCCCAATGCTCCTCTCAGCAAACAGCCAGGAAATACAGTGGCTGATTTACACTGTCTCTCTCACTTACACAAACATGACTACACAAAAGAGCATATTTACTGTCTGCGCCGACAGAGTTCTGTGCATTGATTTTAAATGGAACAATACGAGCCGACCAATGAATGAGCTTTAATCTATGGCTCCTCAGTGGTAGTTAAAGCTATAGGACAGCTCATCAATTCCACAGTATTCAGGATAGATCAACTTAGGGGAGTCGATATGTGGCACAGTTATTCAGCTGTCTTAGCTGTCAACCCTAAAGAGAGGACCCTAGGGGCTGTCAGAAAAGGTCAGGCTCACCTGTAACACAGCGTGTATGTTGATGTATTCATTAGGAGTGTAAATATTTGCCCTTGTTTCGATTCTTTGTTAAAAAATGCGACACGTCATGAATTATAAATTAGATTGTTCCAGTTCTGAATGCTGATTGGTCAGTTCAGCTTTAATATTGTGCATGTTCATTTGTGCCATATTATTACATTTAGATTGTCTTTGCCATCTCTAGCACAGTTTTACTGGCTAAATTCATGTGTAGTATTTAAATTCTATTTTTTTAGGCTAAATCACATCGAATATTAATAATAGTAATAGTAATGATAATAACTATTATTATATTTATGATTATATATTTTTATAATATATATTATATATTATGACATACATTTAGTCATTTATTATTATGATATCTTAATATATAATAAGACAATAAATATAATAAGATAATTATTAGTAGTAGTATTTACATACTAATAAAGAATTGGTGGCATCATAGTATATATGTGATATGAAATATATATTATAATCATATATCAATATAAATTATATAATAATAATAATCATGATAATAATAATATTTATTTAGGTATCAGCCAGAATTTTTATATTGGTGCCACCACAGTAGTTATGTTGTTATTATCGTATATAAATGTTATTCATTTATACTGTATATAATTCTATATTATATGATAATAATAGTAATAATGTAATCAATTTTCAATGGCAGATTGAGGCATCAGTGAATCAATTTTTGTATCCCTAATGTTCATTTAAATGTTGATAGTTGATAAAATGAAGATGAATTATACATAAGATATTTCAAAACGACTCTTGTACTCTATGTACTCTTCCTTTAAGCATTAAACATCTCAGTTGTGCCAGGAAGTCTGCCTGTGGGTGTGTGAACACGTGCTAAAGGACACACTAAAGTCACCTTTACACACTCTCATCTTCACACACTCTCACACACACACAGCCAGAGACGAGAACTGATCTTTATGGTGTTAAGCTTTCGTAAAACCCTCATTTCCTCCAAGCTCTGAGTTTCAACTCAATCCAGTTCCTAAACCGACGCCGGATGTCCTAAATATCGCTGGGCTCCGTCTCCGAGAGAATTCCGTAATTTACTGTGTAATTGGGTTTTAATCACAAACTCCTCGCGTGTGAGCAGCGGCTGGCGGGGAGGAATTGCCATGAGCTAATGATCAGCGAGTAGCCACGATTACAGATGCACAGTCGCGCACCAGTGCCAGCTGCATTGTTTTAATCACACGATTAATGCGGCCCATGCGCACAAAAGGTCTTCTCATGAATTTATATGGACTGTTGTCACGGTGTGAATGGAGATATATAAAAGCATCAGCTTCATAATAAACGCTCGGCTCTTTCATGTATCTCGCCTGTCTATTTATGAAGCTGTTATTTGTATGTGTTACTCGCTCGGTAAGTGCTGAGGGCTGTTTTTTTTATGATTTTGCTTATGCTACTGGCTGCATCAATGAGCTGATGCACACATTCTACAGCTTGTCTTGTTTATTTTATCAATGCTATATGGCTGCATGACAGTTTTATAGCTTTATGAAGGCTTTACCATAGTAACTATGGCAAAAAATTATGTACAGTACATTCATACAGTAAAAGTTAATTCATAAACTGACAGAAGTATTAAATGTACCATGTTACTACGTTTTATTTGGACATGGTACCATGGTTTGTTTTTGTTTTATGATTAATCTCATGATTTTTGACCAGCGTTGAAACCGTAATAATGTCAAATTCTGTGCATTTAAACTTACATATTCATTAATTTATTTACTTTTTTCTCTTCAATTTCTGCTGAACAGTTCCTCGTCTGTCATTGGTCAGTCAAACAAATAGTCCCGCCCCCAAAGTCACACCATTGGTTGAGTCAGTGTTGCGGTGTTTGTCATAATACTATAATTAAACAGATCAATATTGTGTTAGCACTTAAAACATTAATAATGTCAAATTCTGTCAATTTTAACTAGTTCGTTTATTCACTTTTTTCTCAGAAATTTCTGCTGAACACTTCCTTGTCTGTCATTGGTCAGTCAAACAAATAGACCCGCCCCAAAATCATGCCATTGGTTCAGTGAGTCAATGTTGCTATGTTTTCATGATGTTAAAAACAAACAGATTAACATTTTGTTAGCACTTAAAATGTTAATAATGTCAAATTCTGTACATTTTAACTTGTTTGTTCATTCATTTACTTTTTCCCCTAAAATTTGCTGAACCCTTCTTTGTCTGTCATTGGTCTGTCAAACAAATAGTCCTGCCCCTAAAGTCATGCTATTGGTTGACTCAATGTTGCTGTGTTGGTTAGGCTGCTAAAAACAAACAGATCAATATTTTGTTAGCACAACAGAGAAGATGTTTACACTATTCTGGGGAATAAACCTATAAATGTCTTTCTTATGGTTGTCTTTGCATATTAAACATCAAAAATATTACACACTTCAGCATAAAGTATCTTTTACCTTCAGACATGTCATATGAATCCTAGTTTGTGGCCGGATCAATCACCTCTTGCCGTTTGTTTTTATCGATCTGTGACCGTTTTATCAAAACCTGCGTGTTTCACATATTCTGAATACCGCTTTGCAGGCGGATAAATATTTCACCATTGACATAACAGTTAAAGCTGAGATGGCTATTATGATAAATCAGGCCGAGGCATGAAACCAGATCCCGATCAATCTTTGATATGCTGGCAGAGCCGGGCCAAATAGAGCTCCAGTCTCCCACTGTGTATAATAAAATGTGCCTTGACCTTTCCGCACCCTCTTAAGTCCATGTGTATGTTAGTGTGTGTGGTCTGCATACTAGGTTTTAATGGAGACGTGTTTTTGTGTCTTTGCTGGTCATCTTGTCTATCAATATTGTCATGTTTTCTATTATTGCTAATGTTATCCCGGATCTCTGTGTTGCTCTGTCTCAGACGCTCATGTGTATTCCTCCGGAGGGAGAGGCCGGTACAGAAATCCCTGTTAAGGTGCTAAACTGTGACACGATCACTCAGGTGAAGGACAAGCTGCTAGATGCTGTTTACAAAGGCATCCCATACTCACAGCGCCCACAGGCCGACGACATGGACCTGGGTAAAGAACTCACCGCCTGTGTCTGATTCTATCTATCTATCTATCTATCTGTCTGTCTGTCTGTATTGCTGTGTCTGTCTGTCTGTCTGTCTGTATTTGTCTGTCTGCCTATTGTTCTATCACTGTCTGTCTTTTGTTCATTATGTCTGTCTGTCTGTCTTTGTTTTTCTGTCTATCGTTCGTTTGTTCAGTTTGTCTATCAACAGTATCATTCTATCTTGCATTCTATCTATTGTTCTTTTTCTATCCCTCTGCCATTCTTTTTATCTATATCTCTGTATTGCCGTGTCTGTCTGTCTTTCTGTCTATCTTTCTATCATTTGTATTGCTGTGTCTGTCTGTCTGTTTGTATTGCTGTGTCTGTCTGTCTGTATTGCTGTGTCTGTCTGTCTGTTTGTATTGCTGTGTCTGTCTGTCTGTATTGCTGTGTCTGTCTGTCTGTCTGTATTGCTGTGTCTGTGTGTCTATTGTTCTATCACTGTCTGTCTTTTGTTCATTATGTCTGTCTGTCTGTCTTTGTTTTTCTGTCTATCGTTTGTTTGTTCAGTTTGTCTATCAACAGTATCATTCTATCTTGCATTCTATCTATTGTTCTTTTTCTATCCCTCTGCCATTCTTTTTATCTATATCTCTGTATTGCCGTGTCTGTCTGTCTTTCTGTCTATCTTTCTATCATACTGTCTGTCTTTTGTTCATTCATTTTTTTCTGTCTCTTTCTGTCTTTCGTTCTGTTTGTCTATCTACAGCATCATTCTATCTATCATTCTGTCTATAGTTCTTTGTCTCATTCTTTATGATTATGTCTATATCTATCTACCATTTTGTTTGTCTGTCTATTGTTTTGGATCTATCTGTCTGTCTGTCTGTCATTTGTTTGGTCTATCTATCTATCTATCAATCTGTCTGTCTGTCATTTGTTTGGTCTATCTATCTATCTATCTATCTGTCTGTCTGTCATTTGTTTGGTCTATCTGTCTGTTTGTCTGTCTGTCATTTGTTTGGTCTATCTTTGTTTGGTCTATCTATCTGTCTGTCTGTCATTTGTTTGGTCTCTATCTGTCTGTCTGTCATTTGTTTGGTCTATCTATCTGTCAGTCTGTCTGTCATTTGTTTGGGCTGTCTGTCTGTCTGTCTGTCTGTCATTTGTTTGGTCTATCTATCTGTCTGTCTGTCTGTCATTTGTTTAGTCTATCTATCTATCTATCTGTCTGTCTGTCTGTCTGTCAGTCATTTAATTGGTCTATCTATCTGTCTGTCTGTCTGTCATTTGTTTGGTCTATCTTTGTTTGGTCTATCTATCTGTCTGTCTGTCATTTGTTTGGTCTCTATCTGTCTGTCTGTCATTTGTTTGGTCTATCTATCTGTCTGTCTATCTGTCTGTCTGTCTGTCATTTGTTTGGTCTATCTCTCTGTCTGTCTGTCATTTGTTTGGTCTGTCTGTCTGTCTGTCTTGTCTGTTTGTCATTTGTTTGGTCTGTCTGTCTGTCATTTGTTTGGTCTGTCTGTCTGTCTGTCTGTCTATCTATCTATCTGTCTATCTATCTATCTATCTGTCTGTCTGTCATTTGTTTGGTCTGTCTGTCTGTCTTGTCTGTCTGTCATTTGTTTGGTCTGTCTGTCTGTCTATCATTTGTTTGGCCTATCTATCCATCTATCCATCTATCTATCTATCTATCTAGCTATCTAATTGTTTACCATTGTGTCTGTCAATCCAATGCACTAGGCTTGACAAACTTTCTTTTTCTATTTGGTTAATATAATTCCACACCACCTGAGTGACCTTTGTTAAAAAGTCAGTTTTTGACAGTTATTACATTTTGAAGAACGATTATGAAAACGATTTGGTTCTCTTAAGAAAAGCATGCACTTGTGAATTGTGCACAGTGCAAAGACCAGTAAATAGAGTCAGTTTTGACATTATGTTGACTATTAGAGAGAAAGTGCAGAAAACGTTGCATAAATTTGACCTTTGATACTCTAGAAACATCATCCAAGACTATTGTGTTTACTGTTCTTCTGCAGAATGGCGGCAGGGTCGACTGACCAGAATCATCCTCCAGGATGAAGACGTCACCACAAAGATCGAGAGCGACTGGAAGAGATTGAACACACTGGCGCACTACCAGGTTAAACAACGTTTCCTGGCAGCTGCTCCATTATGTTATGCAAATTTACAAATGCTTGTCGTGTGCTGTACAAAAATGGAGATGCTTTTTTTATAGTTCTCATTTTCGATCTTAGGTGACAGATGGGTCTTTGGTGGCTTTGGTTCAGAAGCAAGTATCCGCTTACAACATCGCCAACTCCTTCACTTTCACTCGCTCTCTCAGTCGATACGGTAAGCCTCAGTCTCTCAGATCGCTTTACGCCACACAATCCTCGGCTTTAGCCATGTTTGTTTAATATATCATTGATTCTTCCAGCATTTTGTGTCATGCCACATGCAGCATGTTTGGCTCAAATGGGAATCTAAGATCTTTTCACCAGCCATTCAATGAAATAACACATACTGTAGGCTGTGTTTCAAAACCTAGTAAGCTAAACAGCAAATGTGGATATCATAGACATGCTCTCAATGTTTAAGATGTCTGACTAACTGTAAGAGGATTCATTTCAGTCATAATGATGTTTATTTAGACATCTTTACTTGTAGACAGTAAATGCTGATTCGGCTCACTAGGCTTTGAGACACAGCTATTAGAAAGATAATGATTCAGAAGCAGTTTAGATGTACAGACTAAGATATGTAAACTGCAATGCACTGTCAAGAAGCAGATTGAAGAACATGCTCATTTGGATTGTACTGTACATAGAGAGTCTGCTGAGGACGTCTAGTAGTCCAGACAGCCTTCGATCCAGGGCTCCCATGATCACACCTGACCAAGAGACGGGCACCAAACTCTGGCACCTGGTGAAGAACCATGAGCACGCAGACCAGCGAGAGGGAGATCGTGGGAGCAAGATGGTGTCTGAGATTTATCTCACACGCTTACTGGCGACCAAGGTACATAAGCATCATTCTACACAGGAAACGTATGTTTTTAATGCAATAAACCACTCAAGGCTGCATGCTACAGTGTTTTACCATGGTTAAAAAATGATTTACTCACCCTAACATCAGCTGTTCAAGGATTGTTACAGGATTTATATTTTTTATCACATTTGAAAATATATTCAAATAGAAAACAGTTATTTTAAATTGTAATTATAATATTACAATATTACTGTTTTTAGCATATTTGTTATTAAATAAATACTTGGTGAGCCTTCTTTCGAAAATATTTTTAAAAATCGTACCAACCTCAAGCTTTTGAATGGTAGTGTACCATTTTTGAAAATGGACATTAATGCAGCCAAATTTCATCCGAATTGAAGATTATTAGTAAATAACTGAAATTTGGTTTGTTCACACACAAAGAAAAGGCATGGTCATTATGAAATTGTCGTTGTATGACAAAAATGTGTAATTTTGTATTGTACTGAAAAAAATAAAAAGCACATAGCTTTAGAACAAGAATAATGCGAGGAAATAATGTTTAAAAAAAAAAGCGGACTGCTAATAAAAAGTTGGAACAATCCATTTAATCATTCATTTAACTAAAAGAATCATTTGACATCCATAACATTAAAGATTTAAAACACATAAATTGAAACCTCACAATTAGCATTTTTTTCAATAAAATGTGAATAGTTCCTCAAAACACCTGATGTGACCCCAAAGCATGTTGTAAACTCTCATGTGTCATGTTTTTAGGGCACACTGCAGAAGTTTGTGGACGATCTTTTTGAGACTGTGTTCAGTACGGCCCATCGCGGCAGCGCTCTCCCGCTGGCCATCAAATACATGTTTGATTTCCTGGATGAGCAAGCAGACAAGAGACAGATCACCGACCCGGACGTACGGCACACCTGGAAGAGCAACTGGTGAGATACCAAGCACTTCCTGTCTTTGACCTCGTTTTCTGCAGCATCTGTTTGGATTGTTTTGAAGCCCTGCTGGGTTGCCAGTTCAGTTCCATTTGTTTCGGGAACGCAGCACGCTCTCAGAGCAATTGAAAAAATAATGTACTTTAGTGCGATTCAAGACAGACCACAATCACTAAAAAGCTTTTTGGACATAATCAGATTTTATTGTACTGTGTCTCTCTCTTTCTTTCTAAACCAGCCTTCCTCTGCGGTTTTGGGTCAACGTGATCAAAAACCCTCAGTTTGTCTTTGACATCCACAAGAACAGTATTACAGACGCTTGTCTGTCAGTGGTGGCTCAGACCTTCATGGACTCCTGCTCGACGTCTGAGCATCGCCTGGGCAAAGACTCTCCGTCAAACAAGCTCCTCTATGCTAAAGACATCCCGAACTACAAGAGCTGGGTGGAGAGGTACGGACACATGCCTCAAAATACCACGGACTTGATCTGATTGGTATAGTCTAGTAATTAAACACCTTGAAAGATTGTACGTTGGGTTCAAAACTTGCAAGGATACTGATTTTTTGTTCACCCAAAAATGACAATTCTGTCATCATTTACTCACCTTCAAGTTGTTCCAAACCAGTGTGAGTTTCTTTCTTCTGTTGAACACACAAAAAATATATATATTTTGAAGAGTATTGGTAACCAAACAGTTGCTGGTAGCCATTGACTTCCATAGTATGGAAAAAAAATACTATGGAGGTCAATGGCTACCATCAGCTGTTTTGTGAGCCATCCCTTTAACCAGGGCTATTATAGTAAACTAAAACAATAACAAACATTTTGCTATAAACCGATTTAACTGATATAAAATATATTTAAAAATTTTAATATATACAACTCTTTTTAATTTCAGCTCGGTGCCGAGGCAACATTTCTTATTTTCATTAAGTTGAGCTTGAATAAAATAACTAAAATTTTAATAAAAATTATTTTTTTTAAAAATGAAGACATATTTAAAAAAATTAAAATTTAAAATGACAGAAACACGCAACATTACTAAACTTTTTTAACTAAAATAAAAACTAAAATAAAAATTTAAAATGTTCATAAAAACTATAATAGTGTCTCAATACTAAAATATATCATGTAAGCAATAATAATAATGTACTTGCTTTAGTAGGTGCCAGTTATTAGTAATTTGCACTACAGTCTTTTACTAGGCAGCATAAACTGAAATTCATCAATTTAGTTTTCATTTTCTCCAGTAGATTAACTCCAAACTCTTCATTTACAATATGAAGTAGATGATTTTTAACGTGTGTGTGTGTGTGTTTTCAAGATATTACCGAGACATCAGCAAGATGCCAAGTATCAGCGATCAAGACATGGATGCCTATCTAGTAGAGCAGTCCCGTCTCCATGGCAACGAGTTCAACACACTGAGCGCGCTCAGTGAACTGTACTTCTACATCAACAAGTACAAGGAAGAGGTGAGACCTGGGACTCTATTTTACATCCCGTTCTAAACGTTACACGTTTACGCATACTGTTACCGGCATACTAGCATGCCAAGAGTCAAGTGTTTGGAGGGGTTTAAAGTATAAAGTGGTTGGTTTTTCAGTTTGTGAGATAAGCGTCATCTCTAATAAACTAGTATTCAGTCTGATATCAAACCAACAACACCCAATTTCAGATTTAAAAAAAAAAAATAAGTATACTTATCAAATATGTATGTATAAATATTTAATATTTATAATGTTATACAATAATAAGAATAATTCTATATTTAATATAAATATTCAAACGTGGTTATAGCATCACCAAACAAGTATTCAGTCAGATATAAAAGCAACAACACCCAATTTAATATTTTTAAGTATACTTATTAAATATTTATATATACATATTTAATATTTAAAATTCGTACAGTAATGAAAATATTGATATTTCATATAAATATTAAAATGTGATTATATACGTATTACATTTCAGCAAAAATGTGAATGTAATATACAGAGGTGGGTAGTAACTGATTACTTGTAATCTGGATTATGTAATCAGATTCCAAAAATGAAGTACTTGTAATTAGATTAAATTACATTTTATAATGTAATATAATGTTTAATGCACTTCATGTTGTTAATAACAACAAATGGAATATATTTTCTTACTCTTTGTATTTTTATATCAATATGGTACAAGATTATCCCATTTAAATCAATGTGAAAAACGAGATATGTCAAAAGTAATCTAAATTTTAATCTAGTAGTAATCTAAAATATTTTTTGTATGTATATAATGTGTGTATAAAGTAGTATAAAGTATATAACATGCATGTATGAAGTAGAAATTGAGTAGTTTTGTAAAAAAAAAAAAAAGCATTTGAATTCATACTGTATATGCAGTAGGCACAACTTAAACCGTACTAATTTCAGGGACTCAGGGAAGCATTTAAATCAAAAGGTTTGTAAAATCATGAGAAACATAAGCCCTGGTAGTGGTCGTGCAAATTGCCATAACGGTAGTTTAAAGATGCACATGAGATCTGAATTGAAATGCAAATGTTGTTTCAGTATTAGCGGTTTGATCTTGATGAATGTGCGGTGCCGTATCTGATGAGGTCATTTATCATTGTCATTATGAGCTCCAGTGAGGGTCCGCAAACTCTCACGCTCAGAACGATGTCGAATATTGAATTATTACATGGGTTCGGCCTTCAGTTAATGGCCTCTTCCTCTCTTCCCCGCTCTTCCTCCTCTCAGATTTTGACAGCCCTGGACAGAGACGGTTACTGTCGCAAACACAAGCTACGACACAAACTGGAACAAGCCATTAACCTGATGTCTGGCAGCAGCTGAGGGCGGTGACGGATTGGACGGGACGGGAGGGGAAGCGTTCAGGGGGTTTGGGGGGGAGGGTTGAGACTGAATTGATGGAGTCCAGTGGACCGACCCGTGTCAGAACATCCACGGCTTGTGCTAGCAGAAGGTGAGGCTAAAATACTGGACAATCAACTCTAAAGGAATCACAGCACAGCATACGAAGCCCAATGTTTTTCTGGACCAGAACCTGTACACCCAAACGCCCGCACTCCCTAATGCCCAGACCGAACGCCGTTCATATCGGCCTGCCTAACAAACTATTCAACACGGACTACTGTGGATCAGATACATTCCAATAAGGAAAGGTGCACGTGCTCTTGCCTTGGAAGCCAAATTGCCAAGATAGTGCCATGGAAGAAAATATCTGACTTTCTGGGAGAGAAAAGCAGCAACATGTTTTAGTAATGCATTCGGCGGGGTAATCTGAAAACAGTTCTTCATATCGACCTCCGAGAGACGCCTCAAAAACAATCACAATCGTGCGACGAGCTCCATTAACAGAAATGAAGATATTTATATCGGAATGAATCAATAATGGAGACCAAATGCATTATGGGTAGTGTTGAGGCTGGGCTGAATGGGAGGAACCTTCTCCTCCTCGTCTCGAAATTGCCATAGACCTATAAAAGCGCCTTTCTCTCGTTTTCGTTCTTTTTTTGTGATTACGGGGCCAAATGGACCTCTACTTGTCAAGAGGTATGGATCAGCATCTTTTGAAGCTTGCCTTTTCGTTGCGTCCGGATATGACTCCCCGAACCCTTGCCGAAATGTACCCCAGGATGGGCGATCGTCCCTTGGGGGTGGGGGGGGGCATTTCTGCTCCCTTTGCTTTTTTGTACACCGCTGTGTTACTGTGAGGTTTGGAGTGTTTACTCGGATTCTGTGGTTCTTCTCCAAGACTGCGTTGGCGAGGGCCGAGTTTTGTCCCTTGATGACAGGCATCTTTAATGTAGTAGATCCATCTAGAGCAATAACTCTCAGATTTACCTGCAAGCCATGAGTTTAAGTTCCCTGTGTGTTCAGATTCACCGTCCTGACTCTAAATTTTCAACGTTAGCAGTTGGCGAGTCGCGCTCTTTTTCATTTCCCTGTTCCGTCCAAATGGCAGCCAAAACGTGTTCACAATGCCAAGCACAACGAAGAGACGACTGTTCAACTCTAATTGTTTTCTCGCCGTTTCAGCAGGCCAATGCCATTTTTGACACAGAAGTCCGCAGCTAGACAAATCTCGTCCGTTCTTCAGTCGTCCCCCGTACAACCTTATCAAGGTTCTTGCTTGATCGATTATAACGATTGTGTCGATTCTGTCTGTATACACAAACAACAAGGCCTTAAGTCATTTCCTCTTCTCTTTATCGGACTTTTCTCATCTCCGTGACGGCGGCGGTGGCGTCGCCCTCTGCTGCCACGGAGGTGAACTGCAAACCGTTATATTCCAGGTACTCAAATTGTGATACGTCCGTGAATTTCAAAGTACTCTCAGCTGTTTTCTATTCCTTGCTATATGTGGTTCTGAGTTCTGCTCTGTCTAGTTGCGTATCAATTGTGTTTTTGTGTTGTGTAAAATCACCGAGAATGTACAGCATGAATAACTGAGCATATCTTGCAAAAATCTTTGCCTCATTATACATGTTCCAGTTTTAGACACAAAACACCTTCAGACGATCACAGCCAGGGCAACAGGGAGAACTATTTGCTTTCAACATCGTCTTTAAAATGTAAAAAACCTACTTCACAAGGTCAGTTCAAGCAAACAAACACCCATCGTAATGTGGGATCATTAAAACAGTAGGGAAATCCATCGGGGCCTTATTAGTTGAGTTTGAATGAAGATATTCAATGGCCATCAAAGTGAATCACGTACCTTTGAATACATCTTACGTCGATAGATTTTGCCCTTTCTTACCCTGTGGTATTGGATTTGCTAATAACTACTAATCGTTATTGCCTTAATTTGGCTACAAAACAACAACTTTTGGTTTAGTAGCTCTAGACCTCATCCCGCAGGGTCATGGTTTGAAATCTTGTGCATTTCAACAGCATAATGTATCTGGATATTTTAAGCTCTCATTGAATGTAATTAAACCTGCCTTCAAATTCGCCGCATGGATTTGGATGGGATAACAAGATTCCCCGTTCATCATCAAAAGCCCAATTTTTGTTGTTGGAATTGTGAAGGCAGGATGTTTTGAACTAAATGTGGGGCTCATTAACATATGAAAAAGTTGCAGGATGAGAATTAAGCAGAATCTTTTTGAACATTGGTTTGTTTTTCTGTTGGGGGAATGGGGTCAGCTCATGAATCTGGATCCGTTATGGCATTTCAACCTCTTGCAACACGATACATCAGGAATTACTGCCTGTTTGCCAAAGCTGCGTCGTCAGCAATGCAGGTACGAACCCAATATCCGACGTCTGGAACAAACCACTTTGAGAAATGAAACGCAATCATAAATCTACGTTAAAAAAGCTGAAAACTAAACATCAGTGGTTGAAATTTTTTGATTTAGCACCTCTTGGTTGAAACCACGCCGTCAGGTTTACATCTGATTTTCTATACTGTGAGTAAAGCCAAACGTACTGTGGGGGAAGTGGACTTAGCTTGGTCGCGTACATACTGCCTGTAAGATAACTCTGACTATCGTTAAGTGCAACTGGCCACCGGGGTGTTTTTAGGTAGACTGGTGAAGACGGAGCTAACACTAACGACGCCTCGGCCGATAGCCATATATCAGAAATCGCCCGTTTCGTTTCGTACAGCAGAACTCAGAGCCAAATGAGGCGCTTTGCGGTTTGTTTTCGTCGTGTGGTGAAACGGCATACTCTTAAAAGCACCTGTAACTTGTGAGGAACGGAGCGGAGTGAGTGGAAAAATAACTGTGGTGTTTTTTCAGTAGATACAGTAGAAGAAAATGTCTGTTTTAGATCCATAACTACATTTCAGTCAATGTTCTAGTTATAAAAGAAGAAGAAAAAGAAAAAACATTTTGTCTCAGATGAATTAATTCTAATTTATTTGTCGGTTTGTCTCTTTATCCCAAATGTTTTAATCAATTTTATTGTAACAGACTTGTTTACAGTTTCAGAAATATATGGAGTTTATTGACGTGTCTGGAGAGCTTTGTGACTGACTGGTTGATTGGATGACTGGTTAATGGGCAACTGCTATGCCTAGTCCTTAATTCTATATAAATATATAAATATATTTTGTATAATTATTGGACTGAAATTTTTTTTGTTTGTTTTTGTTTAAATTATTGTTTTAATTCCGTTTTAATGCATTAAGTAGTTTGAGGGAGTCGTGAGAAAGAGTCTAAAACTCTGGCTGCAATGAAGTGTTTTGTATATATTTGCACCTTTTTTTTTTTTACTCTGTGCAAGGTTTTTGAAAGATTGGATTCTAACTTAATGTTCAAAGGACAAGCATGGTGTTTTTTTTTTTGCTAATTAAAAGATATGTGGATGATGCTGTATATTTCTTGAATGTTTTTTTTTTCCAATTGTTTTTTGTATATATAATCATCTGCAAGGACTATTTTGTCTCAAGAGCTTGATGTTTTCATTCAAATAAAGACATGTGTCTCAGTGAAACCTACGCACTTCTGGACTCGGATAAATGATAGTTTGAGCTTTTTGAATATGTACACTGCAAGAACACAGGAACAGATATGACTAATTATTTTGTGCATTGTTTCATTTTCTTACAAACCATTTTGCAATTGGAAAGGCAGTTATGTTAGATTGCACCCAATTGAGTTTGCCATCACCTGCAGACATGTATATCCGAACAGAGGAATATAGATGGAAAACGGCACATTTCAGTACGATGTGTGCTAATCAGACACCGCATGACACTTTCCCAGTTATTTTTCTGTCCACAATGAAAGCAAAATTGCTGCATGATGCAGCAAAATCACAGCCAATCAGAACATGTTCATGTATTTATATTTGTGAAAAGTTTTTGTAAGATTTTATTAATACTTTTATTATGCAAGGACACATTAAAGGGTTAGTTCACGCAAAAATGAAAATTCTGTCATCAAGTACTCACCCTCATGTCGTTTCAAACCCGTAAGACCTTCGTTCATCTTCGGAACACAAATGAAGATATTTTTGATGAAACACACTGAAACACTGATGTCGCATGGATTATTTTACAGATCTTCTTGCTACGTCTCTGGACTTGGGAACATTTCAGTTGCGTTGCTGTCTATGCAGCGTCAGAGAGCTCTCAGATTCCATCAAAAATATCTTCATTTGTGTTCCGAACATGAACGAAGGTCTTACGGTTTTGAAACGACACACGGGTGAGTAATTAATGACAGAATTGTCATTTTTGGTGAACTATCCCTTTAAATTGTTCTAAAATGAGAGTAAAACAATTGTTACAAAAGAATTGTATTTTATACAACAAATGCTGTTCTTTTGAACTTTCTATTCATCAGAGAATCATTAAAATAAAAAATAAAAAAACATGGTTTTCACAAAAATATTTTTGGAAATATTTGTGATTTTTCATCACAGTAGCACAGGTTCCAAAAAAACATGAAGCAGCACAACAGTTTCCAGCACTGATAATAAATCAGCATATTAGAATGATTTCTGAAGGATTGTGTGACACTGAAGACTGGAGTAATGATGCTGAAAATTCAGCTTTGCATCACAGGAATAAATTATATTTTAAAATATATTAAAATAGAAAACAGTTATTTAAAATGTTTAATATTTCACAATAATTCTGTTTTTATGTGTTTGCCAAATAAATTAAGCCTTGTGTGCATAAGAGACTTCTTTCAAAAGGAAAAAAAATATATTTTAATTAAAATTTTAGATTTTTGTTAAAAATAATACAAATTAGCAAAAGATTGTAAATCTTGAACCACCTTCACTAGCTCATTTTAAAAGGTCCTGCGGTGTGGTAATAGCCTATATTCCAGGCAGTCTATAAATTAATATGATTAATAATACTATGACATTTCAACTTTTTATTAGTATTTAATGCCATTTGTCCATATGTTTAATTTTCAGGTAGGTAAAATGGGATTTTGGACTTCACTGTGAGCAGGACTTCCCAGAAAATCATGACAGAAGTACAACACAATAATTTGCACAAGGTTAAACTCAAATCTCCAACTCTTATTGAAAAAATGAAAGACTGCTGGTCTCAGCTCGTGAAAAATGGGGGCAAAAACAGAAGTGTTGCGTTTATAATTTTGTTCAGTGTAAATAACATTGTTTATGAACAGCAAAAGTAAAACAGATGCCCCAAAATGGTGTCCAGCCAGCGAATCATGTCTGATGACAGATTTGCCTACTCGTATTACAATTAGGACGGTTGCATCCAATTAGGTAATTGCATTTTA